CATTAATCCATTGTCCTATGATTTCTTTCCCAATTGCGCTTAACAGGGATATTTTATTGTTTATAATTCATTAGAAAAAGCGGAAAATTCTACATTTGTTCTATGTCTACGTTTACTCAGAAGTATTACAATTAATAATGGAAAAATAATATTCAATTCGAAATTGGAAGAATTAAGTAATATTTATATTTGTTAAATTCTATTTGAAATCTTCACCACGAGTTTGATACGATATTGTAGGGCAAGGGGTTAACATATCTATTTATGATCATACTCATGTATCCATACACTCACGCTGACATTTCTTCAATTGTTTTCCAATAACAAGGATAACTACCTTCACTAACTCGATACTAAACAACCTTCCACATTTTATAAATAGGAACCTATAATATCAGCAGAAAACTATAACATTAAATGGGTAGTAAGAAGCATCTTTTGTAGAAGGTACACGGAGTAACTACGCATAGTCAGGGAATAAAAAATAATGTATGCACACTTTCATAACAATATTTGAAGAAATCAATTATTTCTATCAAAATCAAATAACAAATAAAGTTTCTAGTAAGTAATAACTAATTTATTTCATGAAATAAGAAATAAATCAATTAATTGGTAATAAATTCATTTAATTCTAAAATAATAATTTTAAAAAGTAATTTAAAAGTAATATCATTTGAAAATAGTTCAAAACACCCAGGTCTGAGATACACATACTTTAACCTCTTACTGTTGATGTCTGCAAAAGATTTTCCCCATCCAAAGCTGATTCCAGTCGAGTCAATTTATTTCGAATTTGTATTGTTCACGTGTGCAGCGTTTCCGAGCGAACTTCCGCTTTACTGTTTGAATTACATGTAGAACGATCTTTCTATTCAAACTACTATTTATTAACACGCTTGACGCCAGAACAAACACTCATGAAAACTCGCACGCAATCAAAATAGTTTTTTTTTTTAAACCAGAAACTAATAACTCAAGATTTTTCATAGCGATTGATCTGCTGTTTTCTTTATTCTCATACATCCAACAAAACTCGATTCGTTCGATGCGTCACCAAGAAAATTAATTTTTAAGCTTATGTTAAAAATGGTGTTTTCCGAATTCGTATGATGAACCAATCATCAAGTCTTAATGTAAGAGATAGTAGGGTATAAATGGGACGTATTTTTTTTAAATCGTAATAACAATGTATCCGAAGCAATAAACGCATGAAACCTTTTTTGGAAGTCTTAAATGGGTCTTTGACTAGAAGGAAATAAAAGATTTTTTTAATAAAAATATTTAGTTACGGAGGAAAATACTCTGCGATGAATAGATTTATCGGCTCACAATTAGCGTTGAAACACGGGCATGTGTATACAAGCAGAAAAATGAAAATTACTATAGTTATCGTTGTCCTTTGTAAGGTTGGCGATAATTTAAAGTTGTTATTAGTTTTTATGTTTAATTTGTTGAGCTGCAAATTAATTCAAATATTTGGCAAAATTTTGCGCGAGGAATTTTGTTCTTACCTATATTACTTTTTTTCAATATTTTTAATTTAAATTTAGAACTGGCTCTGGTGAGACAACCAGCAAATTTGATAATTTGTAGAGTGACTCACAAAATTATTGACATACGCAGAAAGTTAACGAAAATGTTACCACTTCTTTTCGTTCATTATCTACGCGGTAGGTCGTGTGGTTTCGTTCTCTTCAATCTTCTGATTCTTGGTTGTGTCAGGTTCATAGTCAGTTTGTTGGGATGTGTCCCTAATTTGACATTATATGTTGTTACATTTCACCTATACTACACAGATATGTAAGTACACTAATATTATTTATTAATAATTTTGTACAGAGTGTAACGCTACAAGTTTATCAATGTGTATAAGACGACATTGGTATTTTTGGAACAAAAACATTTCGACGTGCGTAGTACGTCTTTCCAGCGCAAAAGGTTAAAATACGTTTTTAAGGGTTAAAAGAATTTCATTGAAAACTATATTCTCAGTGCACATTTGTGTTATCTTTTAATTCAGAAATGTATATTAATTATGTTGATAAGTTCTCGCAAATCAAGCTTTAAACCGTTTCTAAAATGTTGATACCAGTATTTAAGAGCTAGTATTGTAAAGGAGAATATTATATTAAAAAAGTCATAAATTCCTTAATTAATTAATAAGGTAGATAAATGTTTATCCATCGCAATTGGTTTATGTATAGGTAAATGAAAGAAAACACATATAAACATTTTAAAACACAAATACAGAAATTAAATTTGATTAATATAAATTCAAGTAATATTCCTAGAAAATCATAATTTATATTTATTAATTATACAACATATCATAATGTGTCCAGAAACAATAATATTCATCCATTTATATGTATATTAATTAATTTATTGTTCTAGTAGTTCTCTACTTGCTGAATATCAAATTGTAAAAAATGTTTCCTGAAATTTTGTTCCGTTAAATTCCACAAAATAAATAGTAAAGTCAATGCTCAAATAAATTGAAGTAGTAATTAATTCGCAGGGCCTCATACTTTCCCATGTTGCACAACATGATATAATACGAACTACAATAGATAATTACATGATCTTCCATTTATACCATAGACGTTAAAGTACAAAATTAAAATAAAAAAATTATAACAATTTATGCAGTATGTACCATTTACATTGTAATATTCGAAAGTCTTTTATTTATTCATTCTTCTTACATTGTGATTAAGGTAATATTAATTTGCATATAGATATATTAATGATTTTGATTTAATTATAACTATATACTAGAAGTTCAATTTATAAAACATAAACTGATTATCCTTCTAAATGATACATTAAAATCGCCTGTTACTAAATACTGTACAGGTTGAAAAATGGTAATAATTCGAGGAATAGATTCACTTTATGTTTAATAACCCGCTACCTTTATCTACCGTTTTACTCTTATGTTTCACATAATTGAAAGCATCAATTTTTATTAAAGTGGAAATATTAAAGTTAAGAAAACTAATATCATAGAACGTAAATCTGTACTTCATTAATATAAATAGAAATAGTAGTTTTATTGAAATTACATAAATATTTAACAGAAGTAAAAATACAATATAACGTATTATTAAATAACATACGAACATTATTATGAACGTATTATTAAACAATAAGTGAATAAATAAAGTAAAAATAAGATTAGATACAGAAATAAATATACTTAATGATCGTCGATTGGTAATGAAAATAATTTTCATTCTCAATCATTAAATGATATTGCAAAGAGAAGAAAATGATTAAAGTACCAAACTTCTAATACTTGAATTATTAATATCTTTACATAAATATTGTTCTATTTAAACAGCCAATATTTATGTAAAGATATTAATAATTCAAGTGTTAGAATACTATTAAGAAGAAACAGTGATCATGGATGAGTATCCAAAAGAAAAGGTTCATCAGTAAGCAAAATCGGGAGAAGAGAATTAAGTCTATCAAGTAATACTTAAACAAGAATTTTAACTTTTACAAAATTTATTCTATTTGCAACACATTTCGATTAATGATATCAGAAATTTCGTGCTTATAATAGACAATATAAATAAATGGGGCTACTTAACACCATCGCAACCAGCGTCACATGTATTTTTATTCAATTTCCTAACGTATGATGTTATGTGGGGGAAGTTGATGAGAGCTTTTCCTTGAATTTTATTTGCAATTTGCAAAAACAATTTGTTGCATTTAACAAAATATTGTAACTATGAAGATTACTACTGACACAAACGTTGGTCGCGAATGTGTTAAATACAAGATGAGTTACGACACAAATGATACTTAATCATTTTCTATCGACACTAAAGATAGAACAAAATGTCTAAAACAAAATCTGTATTATTCAAGAAAGCAAATACAATGAGATGCAACCTTATTTTTAATACTTACTTGAAGATAAGTTTTTGAAGACATAGATTTTAAACTATATACCGTTGTCGTCGATGTCAAGACAAGTTTAATGACCTCGTATACTATGACCTTGAAATAACTTTGGATTCAGAAATGTAGGTTCGATCAACGGTATCATTAATATGTGTAGTTTGGTTCCTCAAACTATCAGTTCCTATCTATAACAATAACGAGTGTGCCGTTAACATAAGATGACTCTTGGTGTACATAAAAATTATTAACAAAACACAAGTGAGTGATCACCATTGATGTATTCAATGTACCCGTTTATCAATATATGATTAACAATCTACTCAAACGAAGAAAAGATTCACCTAATTTTTATTTATTACACCTGTCATCAGTTCTCGAAAAAACAATTCAACTTCACAGAAATCAATATTTTGATTGTGGAAAAAAATCAGTGAAAGTTGTGTAAACGAAATAACTTCCACTAGTGTGGTTAAAGAAAGATTAACCCTTTTCTCCATGATTTCTTTCTGAACTGTGATCAATCTGACTACTTTGTTATTAATAATTTATTGAAAATAGAAGAAAATTCCAGTCTTGTTATATGTCAACATGTATTCTACTATATGATTATCAATAAAAATGGAATAACATGTGATTTGCATTCAAACAAATTCAAAAATACTTATGTTTGTTAAATTCTATTAAAAATCTCCACCACGAGTCTGACACTATATCGTAGTACAAGAGGTTAATATCGTCTTCTAAACGAAATCATCAGACATGATACGGATAGAATATTACAATCAGAGTGGCCTTTTTTATAAGACAATTACAAATTTTACTACATAAAATTAGTATGGTACTTGCTACATAAAATGAATAAATTGTAGCAGAAATTGATTAATCGTATTCATTTTCAAATGAGATGAATTAATAATACGAAGGATTTATATTTCGTCGTGCAAGAGATTCCAGGTTTTGTTCGCGTTAATCAGAGAGTTCTTCCAATTATTTGAAACAGCTTTAATTCCTGGGAAAGTAGAGGGGCGTCGAATCCCAGTCACGACATCGGCACCGAGTCTGAGCCTTACTCAGTGTGCGCCGAGTCGTCACCACGGTCGGATGGGAAGACGCGGTTGTAGGCTTGCGCGTATGATACGGAAGAAGTGGGAGAGAGAGAAAGAGTTACCTTTCGGTCAGTAATGTGTTGTGTAAACACGTGTGAGTGCGCCTCTTGTCCCCAGTGCTCTAGAAATTGTGCAGAACGTCCGGGAAGGCCGTGAAATATTATAAAATTAAGTTCAGAAGCAAAACGTCAGGTGTATCTTTTTAGCTACTCGACTTCACCGTTTCTCAACGGTTTACCATTTGACAAGAAACGTTTGTACTCTGCTTTGTGCCACACGTGTTACATTACTGGATTTAAAAATTAAAGTAAGTATTCCCATGTCTCGCGGGAATTGATATACTTGTGTTTGATTTCTTTTGTATATTCTTCCGTTAACCAGACATCTTTTGCCATTAAACTTGAACGTACTTGGAAAGTCAGCTATAGGAACTATTCGTTATACAACTGTAACGGAATGTGAAATTTCAAGGTTCAAAATCTTTCGGAATGTACACGTGAAATTTCAAGATTAAACATTTTTCCAAATGTTGTAAAAACGTTTAATTTGGGAAAACTAACTTTTGCGTATAAACAAAATTATCTGCGTTTATAATCACTCATTTTCAATTGTTCTTTCAGGCATAATGTTTTTATTCGACTAAAAATTCCTTAAAGGTGTGAGCGGTAATGAATATAAGCACTTCTATTAGTACTTTATTTACCTATAGAAGAAAAATAATATATTTTTAATATATGTTATAACTGATAAGTTGAGGTTTCTCCTTCGGGAAATCTATCACGTTCCCTATTTTTTTTAAAGTTAAGATTTACAATGTTTCAAATAGGTTTGCGGAGAATTGAAAATATTTACATTGAGAGTATTTATGGGCATTTTAAGTACACATAAAATAATGCAAATTTTGTAATACTTTATCATGATTGCGTTAAAATGTGTATCTTAAAATTTATAGATAGAAAGAAGAATCCTCACACATTCGCTGAATTATTAGATATTACGCATAAAAAATATAATTATATGAATATTGTATTTCATATAAACAAAGAACCGTCTTTCATTATGCTTATGAATAAACATTTCTACATTTCTACATTTCTAAACAGTCTGTATCACTGTATTTTTTATTCATGATTGTCAACTATATTTCGATATTTAGACTTATTATATCTCTCAAGTTTTCCAAAATTGTATTGCTTCTCATACGGGATGTTTTTGAAATCGTCGTATAACTTTGAAGGGAATTATTCTATTCGAGAAATTAAGTAGAAAATAGAAGAACCTTTTTTTCATATAATACTTCATCCTCAAAATAATTGCGTTTGAACATTTTTATGACACCCGTACTATTCAATAAGCATCGGCTAATGTGTCTACCCTGTCTAACCATTTCCATTTCTTATAAATATCAATAAAATTGATGGAATAATATTTCTTAAATTTTCTAAAAGAAAGCTTAATTCTGCGTTTTTAATTGCTTTTTGTCTGTGAGCTTACTTTTTACCTGGTTGCGCTACGATTTCGGGAACACATTTTGTATAAACGGTTCTATAAGTTTCCAAGGATACAGTATCCTCTCCGAAAGTGCAAGGAAATTCCTGTCATACAGTACACATGATCTTCTTTCACCACTCCTTTGTGACGTGTCATACTAACCAAGGTTGAACGAACAAGATCATCATCTAGAATAAAGTTCTTAAAAGTTTTATTTTCTCTTTGTACTACTATTTTTTACCCTTTCGGTATGAGTTTCAGCTAATGAATGTTAATGTGTATATGAGACAAAATTGGAAAGGTAATAGTAAATTGGAAATTTTATATAATGCAGTTGACAAAAATGTTCACAATTGAGAGATAAATAAGTAGTAATTATTTTGCGCAAGTAATTTTAAAATGTTCTTCAGTTCGAAATTGTAATGTGATATATTGTATGATTATAATATTCTTATACGGCTGCAACCGTGCATTGACGCGACTTGTCATTTTGTTTTTGCATCTAATATTTTTCTATACGGTAGATTTTACTGAAATATAATGCAGATACATCTATTCCAACAGTTCTTCCACTAGGAATTCCGATAATTTTGGTGTGTTTCATCATTGATTATATATCATTGGTGTCATGTCCATTATAGTTTTAATAAAATAAAAAGTATTTAGGAAAACATTAGACTAATCAAAAATAAGACAACAGAAAATACAAAAATATTTTGTATGATCTAAGTGCAATATATGTTTAGAATTACTCTACACCCTAAGGATCATTATCACAAAAACATAACATTACAGAATCACGAATTTCTTTAAAAAAAGACAACGAATTACCAGCTCACTATTTATACATTAATCATACACAGAATCAGATATTGATTTTTATTAATAAAAGGTAAATACATTAAGATTTTTATATTTAAATTTGTGCTAAAATATTATATAAACGTTCTTATATTGTAAAATTAAAATTCGATTTAAAACGTTGTTTCTGTTTTTTATAGGATAATCTTCGTTATCTATAACTTTGATAATCAACATAGCATCGGTTAATTTAACTTTCTTAGGAACTTGATGAATATATTCTCATGTCTGTAATGTTACTTTTAATTGATCTGCAGTTCATTTGTCGTCTATGTATTTTTTATTATTTCCATTCAAGGCTAAACTAATTTAATTATATCCCAAACAAACATTTCTGAATAAGAAAGTGTTTGAGTGACGTTCGAAAGACTGTGTAGTAGTTTTGAACGATTCCAAATGCGACTCTATAGCTTGTTTCTGTAAAATATATGTAATTTATGAAGTCTATCTATTTGTGTTTCCTTCAGTAAATTCAACATTGCTAAATTCAACCCCCCACCATTAAAACGTCCTTGTGTTTAATTATCAAATTTAAATGTCATACTTTCCATTCTTAATTTGGTTTCAGCAAAAATTTTATTTTACAGTCAGCTCAAATACGTGATGTAATTCGAGTACGTAATATGTTACACAACACTTGAATTTCAATAGATCCCCAAAACGATTGATCCTCAAAACAAGACGTTACGAAACGCTTAGGTGTGCGTTTCACTGTACTCACCTTATAGCAACGTATGTGAAAGAGATTGCGTAGATTGTTCAATGATTTTAAAGACAAGTACACGTTTTTAAATGAAATTCATTTTCAGGAAATTGAAAATAGTGAATCTATTAGCACGTTTTGTTTGAGTATAAAACATACATGCATAATTCATCGCGAATGTGAATAAACATTTCACAAGAAAAATAAGCTCAGTCATTTGAGTAAAAGCAATGGTTTATTACAAAAATCTCTCGAAAAGTTGAGCAAAATAGTCACCTATCTTTTGGATGTCATGTTTGTTTGATTTCATACACAAATGCGTGGTCTGTCATAATATGAAAGAATAATTTCGTTAATTTGTTAACTGTGTTTGAAGTGTATACACGTCATCTTAAAACTTGCAATGATACTAATTCTTTCAACGATAAATTATTTATTTTTTCAGATAAACATGCACTTCTTCTTTGCTTTACTTTCGTTTTTCATTAAAATATACCCTAGATGTAATCGCTCTGCGTTTGACGAGTACACACTTCATGTTTTTATTTTATTATACACAAAACGAAAGATTTATAAAACTAAATTTCACAGTTGATAGGTTAACGGACTTAACATATACTGTAATTAACACAATTTTCGATTGTATTTTTTATTTGCAGACTTTTATTTTATATAGAATAAAACCTTCTCATAGAAGATTTCATTTTCAACATAATTGACTTCGATAGAACATGAACGCATTTATATTTATAAGAATTGTTGAATTTCATATTTATAAGTCGGACAAATGTTCAAACGCGATTATTTTGAAAGACGAAGTATCATACTATACATAAAAATTTTACTCTATATTTTTCACTTATTGTTAATTTCCCCAGAATTCGAAAAGAATTTTAGAAAATTCCATCCCGAGTAATGAAAATAACTATTACAAAAGTCAGATAATATTTAGATACAATGTCGAATAAAAGTGTAAATGATACATGAAAAACAATACCATAAATAATAATACGTGTAGATACACGAAAGGATGCAATGTGATACATTCACACGAAGAATAAAATATAAAAATGTGTTGCTACTGAACGTTGCATATAGAGTATGCCATTTTATTTGGATACAGTCAATATACTGATTTGTCCTTGCTTGCTTGCCTGTTGAATGTGCAAGTTGCTGAAATTGATTTGAAAAGTTGTTTATACTGCATTTCTGTTGCCCGATGAATTAGGTTGCGAGTTCGATGCGCGATGGACCGTGTTTCGTTCATTTGATAATTGGCAGGTTTCATATGTGCTTCTCTCGTTTGTTAATTATTTCTATTACTTATAGAATGGATGTTTTATACTAAACCATCAGACGGGTTAAAGCGACCCATTCCTTACGTCTTCCTTTTACAATTGTTAGAAAGATAACAGATATTTCCGAAAACCGAAAGTTTTAATAGATGCACTCTTGGAATTTCTATAGAGGAATTTCAAAAAGTCAATTTAACTGCTCAGCAGTTTTAGTGCTAGTGTATACATCGAGATTGGTTCGGATTCAATTTTTATAAGCTGTTGCATTCCGAAAAACTAACTGAGCGGCAGTGATCATTTTTCCAGACTAAACAACAGGATATATTACGATTAAACTGTGGGTGGTAGATTCGACAAGAAAATTTCAGAATGCAAGATTTCACGTTGATTCTAAGAAAGGAATGTGTTATACTTACTTATTAACAACTGACCTGGGCTGCCAAAAATGAATCTATTCTAACATTTTGGCTGCCAAGTAAACACTCATCAAAACTCCTATGCATCCAAAAGAGTTGTTTTAACACATTGTTGACTGGTCACGACTTAACTCGTGTTTGTACTTACATTAACTATTTCAATTTTCGAAACGCAGGGCAATATAGAATATTGCAAAAGAAAAATAGTCAAAGATATATAAAACATCTGTCCAAAGTTTCATTTCAATTCATTATGTATAATAAAGTATATTGAAGTTTATTTAGATTGTTTCACTTTGATATTTAATTACGAAATAATAACTGAAGACATGGGATAGCTTCTGTGTAAAATTGTGAACAGTATGTTAATAAAGCGAAAACCAAAAAGTCAAGATCCTTAGTGACGATTGCTCTATTATCTTTCTTATATCTCATACATCCAACAAAATTCGATTCATTTTTAGAGGTTATAGTTAGCCCTTCATAGAAGACGATTATCGACAATAAATATGTGAAATATTCTTATATGTTAAATAGTTCT